ATAGTTCAGCTCGATTTTGATTATATTTTAAGATTCTTTGCTCCAATAAATAACGTGTATGTGCAACTTAAACCTCACTTACATGGGCAACTTTCGCTTATTATTCTAATTAGCAAAGCGTTACCGCTCCTCTTTCACAATCCATGACGTGGATCTTCGAAGAACTCGTACGGGCTTTTTTGAATAATTTCCCAGTCTTGCGCTGCTATACCGTAACATCATAAAGAAGATGACATACCATTTGAAAGAGCTCTTTATGCCCTTTCATCAGTTATGCAAAAGCCTTTTTTTTTTTGAAGGCAAAAAGCAAAAACTTGAAAAACTGCAATTTTTTGGCGGTACGTAAAACCAAAAGATCATGCTTAAATTTTTTTAGAGACGAAAGTTGGGGTAAACTGCAACCTTAAAGCGTAAAAAACCCTATGAGATGGTATGCCTTTACTTGCGCAGAAGTGAATAAAACGTATCTGCGTTCTCGAAACTGCCAATAACCATAATAAAACAAACAAGAATTGAATGTGATGGCCATAAAGATACAAAAAAGATACAAAATTCATGACAATTTTTGTACCTGTTTTTGACGTTATGGTTTGATATCTCTTTAGTTCAAGCGTTGACACCAGCGAGTTATTGTAGGTTTTGTGACTATTCCATCACCCATTGTAGCAGTGGTACTCTGGATGGTCTCACATGTTTTACTGCACTACTGTTTAGAGTTCATAATTGAGTGGTTAATTTCACATTTCAGGGAGTATAAAACTTGTCAAGTTTGTAAATGACTATGGGTATTTAGTGAACAAGAATATATATTCTGATATCTTCTTAGAGCATTTAATCATTTCTCATTCTTGAGAAAGCTACAGCTTCTTCAAGTGTCCCATTACTCTTCGTTCACTCTAATATTATACCCAGTTACAATTTTCACTCTTTTAATATGAGAAGAGATTAGAATGCCCCCTACAACAACTCATTTAGTGCAGAATCGTCGTAAAGAGCACTAGAAACGATCACCAAAATTGTCAATTTCCGCGATTTAACACAATTAGATTGTTATGAAAGATAGCAAAAAAGGTAAAATTTTGCAGACTGACACCGCGTAATGTGTCTATTGTACCATAACAAATTACACCAATGTAATACATCATACATTTTGCGACGGATAAAATCTTCTTCTCATTCAAGATTTGTCCACTTTGACGGTTCGAATAGGCTAATCTTCCCGAAATTTTCATCGCAGGATAAATAGTGGATCGCCTTTTTTTGCGCAAATCGTGCGCGTATTGTCGCGGAATCATTTGGAGATACGCGAAGCTACGCGTAGCCTCTTCACTTCACGAATTAATTCGAAATCTCCTTCACCACTATGAGTATAAACGCCTTCAGATGATTTCATCGCAACATGACAGTATCGTTTGCTATCAGCGCAAGCATGGGAGTCACTCTTCCACTTGTTTTTATCACATTCACTACAGTATGTACTCATGGGTGAGTAATTCTCCGTGAACAAAGTGATCAAGGGGGGGGGGCAGCCAACATGAACGATAGATTGTGCCAGCCATATGCGTTGCCTAGGTCAAATATTTTCTAGATTCTATACTACGCTATGACGATATCCAAAATTTTGGAAAAAACGCTGGGAGCTCGGTACCGCCTTACTCTTACTATTCGACACCATTTTCAACCCAGTGAAGAACATATCGCTTCAAAAAATAAGACTTTAGGCGCGGCATAATGACAACCGCACGAGTACACCCGTGATCAAGCTCTGCTTTCGATCTGGAATTTTGCGCTGTCAAATCACAGCCTGTAAAATCCTTTCCTTTATTGAAATCTTATATATAAAGCTGAATGTCTGTCTGTATGTCTGTGTGTACGTATGTTCCGAATAGAAAATTCCATTTCTGAACCGATCGGGACCAAACTTGGCACACATACACTTCGGGCCCCGGCGGGTGTCATAGGCTACTTTTCGTATCGATCGATATCGATTTTATCGATTTTTTGCAAAATTTGAGCTACGGGGCTGGGAGTTGGCAGAGGGGGGTAAGTGAGCATGGGGATTCCGAATACAATATTAGTTTTTAAAATCGTGCATTACTTTTATCGATTTTATCGATTTTTTTGCAAAATTTGAGCTACGGGGCTGGGAGTTGGCACGGGGGGGGGGTAATCGAACATGCTGATCACCCCCGTGGGGATGATCAGCATGCTCGATTACACCCCTCTGCCAAATTCCAGCCCCCTAGCTCAAATTTCGCAAAAAAATCGATAAAATCGATAAAAGTAATGCACGATTTCGAAAACTAATATTGTATTCGTAATCAGCATGCTCGATTACCCCCTGTGCCAAATCCAAGCCTCCTAGCTCAAATTTTGCAAAAAATCGATAAAATCGACATCGATCGATAACGAAAAGTGGACTGTGACACCCGCCGGGGCCCGAAGGGTATGTGTGCCAAGTTTGGTCCGGATCGGTTAAGAAATGGAATTTTCTATTCGGAACATACGGCGGAGCCGGGTAAGCCAGCTAGTCTTCTATAATTTAGAGACCAAGCATTAACATGCGAGAGATCGCACCCTCATGTCTCTCATTGTCAGTGTGGTAATTGCCAATAGGCAGGGAGACATGCTCTTAGCAACTCAAAGTGCAGACTATAAAAATACAAACGTAAACACAATTACGATACAAATCACAATACGTGTGTCTAGAATGTCTGTGAGTTAGGTAAACATTTTCTAGCCTTTTTCGGATCTGAATCAAATCCTCTTGCGAAAAATAACAACAAACTCTATCTAAACTACTTCTTACTCTCTCCCCACTAAGTAGCCTTTCTAGTGGTAGAAAGGAGCCATGATTATTGAGACAAATGAACACGAGACCTTTTTTCTGACATGAGGTTCCGCCCTAACATTCACTTGAAACCTTACACCCTTTCGTTCGTTACTTGCTACTGTGACGAAACTCGTGCTTTGGACTCAGGTGATTGTCAATAGCATAGAAATGTTACTCCCCTCTTCGTTGATTAATCAATGTGATGCTGAAAACCTTCCTCGCTTTCTTCATGTCCTCGCAAAGTTGTGACTCTTCAGGTCCTCTCAAGCCTACGACACTTGATAGTTTTTGTCCTGTCAGGTCAGCTGCACGTTGGTCATCGCTCTTTTTAGAGATTGCGCATATACTTCAGTTCTTTAGCTCACGTTTCACGGCGATAGATCGATCTAACTCCAGATGCACTCTACTCGCGTGACATCGCAGCTGATGCTCTATATGCAGAGAACAGCCATCAATTACTCTTTCTCTGTGGCAAAGCCATCTGCGGATTTTAAAGGCATTAAATGCCCTCACAATGCTGACTGTCTTCTTTGCCGGTGACAAATGTTCCGGGAACTTTAGCACTCACAATCATTCCCATTGCCACGTCTGCCCCATGTGATGATGGTGGTGAGGGTGTCGTTCTTCGGGCGATCGATGCTAGCGAGGACTTACGCCGGCGCTCTGACTCACGTTTACAGACCCACGGATAAGAGAACGGAGTTGTTTGAACTTTTGCCAAGTTCCCCTAACATTTCTCTTCTTCATCTGGTCTGCAGGGAATCATCCAAACAACATCATTTTTGTCCGTCATGAAAACTAGAACAACCGCCAATCCGTTTTTTCTCTTGCCGATTTTGCAGCTTACTTTACACTCATGAATAATAGAACAATAGCCTACTTTTTCTTTCCTCCCACGCATTACCTTTCATTAATTGTAGTTATATTTTTTATGTACGTTGAATCACACCTGTTTCATAACTGGGCAACGTCATTTAACCATGTTGGAATTTCCTTATCGGAGTTAATAGCGTACTCAAGGTGCATATTGCGTCATAATCCTTTTTCAGCCTTTTCTGACATTCTGATTGCTCTCAAGAGCCAGAATGTTTGAAAAGGTCAGCCGTGGACTCGGTCAGACAACTTAATGCCAAAGGAGTTACGTTCGACTAAAGTTCAGTGTATTCAATCTGTTTCACTTTCTTTCAGTTGCCTGCTTGCTTGCGAAATTACATTCACATTCCTTATAAAGCGCTGTTTGAAAACTAGTCTGTTCTTGTATCTTCGGACCACTTAATAGAAGTGTTATCAATGTGAAAAGAACTATTAAAATTTCGACTATGTTAGTCCCGTCACTCAATGCATCAATTTTGTAGTTGAACTCGTAAACATTGAACAAAATACCATTAGCTTTGGAACTTTATCTTGGATGTGACTGTTTGTTACTTCATGTTTTGCAAAAATAAAACGGAAATCCCTTTGGTACTAGCTGTTTTAATAGACATTCGTAGAAGATTATACCAGAGTACGTAGGTCAAGGTGCAGAAATGTTGTGTGTACTTTGTACAATATTCGATAATTTCTTTTTGCACTGTTTCTTCAAGTCCTTTATAAATAAAGTGCATCGTTTTCAAATACCAGCTTTCGATGCACATAACATTAAACTACAAACTCGCTCCATTTTCTATCGTGGGAACAGTCTGCTGAGAACTGGAATATGTTTCAGAATTGTCGGTCAATAGTGCGCGGCCATTCACAGCTGGGAAAATCCCTCTCAGGATAGTATACTTATATATCATACATCAAGCATAGTTCCGATCTTTGGTTTAATGTAGCCAAATAGTGTCTGTGTAAACATTTCTGATCCACAAACAGCTGAGAGATTTTAAGGATGCTGTGCGTATGGTTGATTCGCATCGATCTGTGCGCATTTCTTGTGTCTGTTCGAAGTGTCAGCCCCGCTGTGCGAAATTAGGCCGCTTTTTCAAGGATTCTTCGGCGAGTCGCGTTTTTCTTGACTGGTTACCGAGATATTCACTGCGCTGCTGTCGGTGACTATGTCAGGTTTTTCTGTTGTGGTTTTCTCAGTTCGAACTTTCACTGATTCATGCTTGCTCAGCTGCTGTTCTTCAGTTCTGTCTCATAACGTCCTTTGATGTTCTGAAAACGCCTGATTTTCAATACCCCACATATCATTCCTTATATCACTTGTCATTGTGCTGTCATGCCAACCGATCTTTCACCACTTATCAGTGATTGCATTTCAGGTAAAATGGCTGAACCTCCCCCCGCATATGAAGGTGAGTTCACCTGTTCAATTTTCCTGCTAACAAGGGAATGGTCAAAAGTCGAAGTGGCCAATCCAAGCAAGCTGCCTACAATTCGAGCAGTCTTCAGCGCTGAGTTCGAATCTGTTTTCCATATCCGCTTAGCGCATTTGTGGACAAAACTATGAGCAGTTTTTTTTTTCGAAATAATTGTACAGAAAAATCGCGGAATTGGGAACATTGTCGAACATTCAGCAAAATTGTAAAGTAAGCTAGCTGCATGATTTGACCTAGGATCAAGCTGAAAGTGGCTTTGTACTGCCAAATTTGCGCTTTGCATGTACGATTTCTTATCAAAATAATAGTCTTTAACGGCTCATAACTTCGTCTATAAAGGCGCTAAGCAGATAGGGAATTCATGCAGATTCAAAGTCAGCGGTTTGTTCTGGATTGCACACTTCGATTTCTGACCGTTCCCTTATAAGCGTGTCGTTTACAAGACAAAACCTTCCCTCAGAGCAGGTTCAAGGCCTCTTTGCTCTTGGCTAGCTAGCTAGCTTTTCATTATTTGGCTATGAGGACCTTCGATTCCAAAGTAAACAGTGACGAGCAGTCACCTGAATGACGTGGCTAGTTTGAACGTGGGAATAGCGCTTTTTCATTTTCAGCACTACAGAACCCCTACGTTCCAACGGAGACGAAGCAGCCAGCAACAAATCCCGACTTTCCACCAAATCCAACGTTTCCGAGTGGAAATTACATGCCTCCGACAATGCAGCAACCTGGTAATTTTTTTGTTGAATTTTGACAATTGCTGAATGTCAGTTATAGCCTGGGGCTGTTACAACTTGCTTCAAATCTTCCTCATTGACTGAAATTTTTGGGATCGAAAAGCATGACGTTACGTGCAATCTCACTCGTGACGTAAAGCTGTAAGAAGAACACGAACAGGCACAGAAAACACGTTTCTGCGCTATCATACCTTTGCCTTACATTGGGGTCGCGCTGCTCATAACATTTGACTTGGAGATTTGCGTTTCTAGGGCTTTTAGGTGAAACGGAGCTAAGTTTTGGAACACATCTGTAGTAGGTTGTTTTATAGGTCAACAGGTAATTTAGTCACAGTATAGCTGGTTTTCGGCGATCAGCTCTCGGGGAGATAAATTAGATAAGAAAGTTTTTTAGTGATGTCTAAATCAAAGTTCAGGAATTTGCTTTAACTGACAAGTGATCTGGGTGAGGTGATTGTGTTATTGACGCATCGCACAGCTCTGAGTAGTTGAGAAATGGGAAATAGCCATGAACATATTTTTATGAGGCAAACTGTTTTTGTGATGTTTGAGAGATTACATGAATTGTCTTTTTTACTTACATCTTTTCCCTAACACTATCTTAAGCCACGTAGAAACCGGAAATTTTCTTTGCGCAACTCAATAAGGAAAAGGTCTCTGTGGAACTGGTAATTGTGTAAAAATCTGTTTTGCGCGTCATTTTTGGAACTGGTATGCAAGGAAAGCAGTGTATTGCTGGGATCTTCAGGATTCTGAATCTGATAGACACATAGACATTTCATACTGTAAGAGTTGAGAGTAGTTCGCAAATGCCTGGAAGATCACAAACAGTACATCGAAAACCACTGCGTTGACAATGTTGATTTAGGTGCTCCAGGATTTGCACCGGGACCAGTTCACACAATCGTAGTAGGTACAATTGCATTTAATCAAAATCCTATGTCTATGACATGCCCACACTGCCATCAACAGGTGGGTCAGCTTTAGTCATCCAACCTGAGCTAGAGGTTTTTTGCGCGAGGAAATAATAATTAGCGTACTCTTGCAGATCCTTACTAAAACCTCCCCAAAAAGCGGATTACTTACATGGCTGCTATGTGGCGGAATGGCTTTGTTTGGGTAAGTGATATAACGATAAATGTATGAGATCCTTCATCATCTTTATATTTAGATGTTGGCTGTGTTGTTGTATTCCATTCTGTGTTGATTCCTGCCAGGTATGATAAAAAGCGCTTACTCATCAGATTCAAATCATTTCATTGATTTTCAGGATACCGAACATCACTGCCCGAACTGCGGAAAATTCCTGGGAATCTACCGAAGAATTTGAGCCTTCTGCGCGTATATGTACCTACTCGTTAACAACTTCACCGCTGCTTTTTTTGCATTTTAATTTCTTTCATTATCCCTCCTACACTCATGCTTAATCACCCAGTGCAAAATACGAGCTGTATAATGTGTTGAAATATTCGAGTATTCTTCTATGAAGTGCTTGAGAGATCTTATGAACTGGTTCGTTGTACTGTTTATTGTTAACTCATCTGGTTCATATGAAAAACTCGCAACTTTCTGTTGCATACATTGATTTATATAAATAAATAAAAACATCATCTCTTTAGATCGTTTTTCTTATTGGACATACGAATAATGGTAATCCAATGAAAAGAGAAGCTAACAATTCGAGTTACGAATGCTGCATGTCTAATTAGTATTAAATGTAGCGCAAGCGAGAAGAAGCGGGATCATTGGGAATGTCCAAGCTTGCTAAGAATTACAATGTTGCATAGGAGATACATGCAAAAATAAAGCCAACTTCTTCTCCAATATTGTGTGTTTTTTTTTTCGTCGGCAAAAGTGTTATATTATCGCCTGCATTTCGACTCAAGAATTTAGGAAGCGCATACCAAAGGCTAGTAGCACTGAACCCGATTATCTGTGGTCTTCTCTCTTATAGCTCAAGTCATGCGGTTCTGAGTGATGGAAACTTTTTGTTGGCTTATGTTGTAATCTGTTTATTGTAAACAATGATGGTCTGCGCTTCGCAAGAAGATATTGTACGAATGGAGTCAGCGACGCATATGCTTAAAGGACTCAAAAGTACACCATCCCTAGTCCCTAGTCACTAAGAAATTTTGCACTGTCAGCTGCATCCTCCTCAGCACTTCTCATCAAAGGTCTGCATCTATCTGAACTTCTGATAAACTATTACACCTAGCATCGATCGAGCAAACTGCTGTACGAAGGTCATTCTTTAAGCGATTGCAAGGCGGCAGATATACCACCGTTGAGAACTCATCTGACTCATGGGCTTGTCATCGTGGGTTCTTCTTCTGTCTATCAGCTGCAGCTGTGCACTGAAGCCGGTCGTCATCAATACATGGGCATCGGATGGATTCCAGCAAGCTAACAGAAATGGTTTGCTTGCATTTCATGGAGGTGTGCTACCTAACAAATGCTAATTCAGCTCTTGGAGCAATCGGCGGTGGCAGAATGTACGCGCTTGTGGAAGGTCTTTCCACCTGTGAGAAACTGCAATGCGACACAACTGTGGGCTATGGAGGTTCACCTGACGAAAGCGGTGAAACTACCCTCGATGCGCTGGTCGTAGACGGGTAAGGGATGCACTAATTACATTCAAAGTCCAACTCATTGTTTTACGAAAATATTCTTCAAGGAGTGGTGTTCGCATGGGAGCTGTCGCCAATTTGCACCGAATCAAAGATGCAGCTCGTGTTGCATGGGCAGTCATGAACTACACTAAGCACACACTTCTTGTGGGGGAATCAGGTATCTTTGTGTGGATAATCACATCACTGCGGGAGTCGCTTGCACCGACTCTTAGAACATAATAAAAGAGTTCTTGGCATTAGACATTGAAATTCTATCATGGAACTGCTTTGTGATTGGGTTTGGAGCAGTTCCTATCTTTCATCCACAGTGGATCAGATATTGCGTTGTAGAGCACTGGTGTCCTTGCAAATCTAGTTGCGAAAGAGCATTAATCCTTGAAAGAGTTTTACCATGAGAAGTTACAAAGGTTGAATTGTCGGTGCGCAGTTAAGCTTGGCTGTATCAGCTGTTCCAAGGCTGACCCATAAAAGTTGTGGTATGAGCCTCTATGACCAGATCGGACTCAGCCTGAGTTGAATTACAATTTTGGAAGATTTTCGTCGATATCGAAGAAAGAAAAACGACTTCAAAAAAAGACGGTTAGCCGTCGGAGATCATCAGGAGATTATACGAAAAGCTGGAAAATGCGGCTTATACAGCTTCTTACTCTGGTTCGATATATTCACAGTAAAGGATGATAGGAATACTTGAAGATAGGTAGACAGCGTGAAATCCGGACAACTGGAGCTTCAGGATATGAACCTTTTTTAGGCTGCGATCCCCTCCCCAGCGAGGGATGTTAGTGCATGCGGCCCTTGATGGCTAAGGGCCGCATGCACTAACATCCCCGCGGGGAGGGGATCGCAGCTCAAAAGAAAGCTTTATATTTCGAAATTCCAGATACCTGGATTTCACGTTGTGTACCTATCCGTAAAAATTCCTACTACCCTTCACTATGAGCATGTTGAAGAGGAGCGAGAAGCTGACGAACCGCATTTTCCAGCTTTTGTATGATCCCTGATGATCCCCGGCGCTTTTCTTTGAAGTCATTTTTCTTTCTCCGAAGTTAACGAAAAACCTCCAAAGTTGTACAGATTATCTAAACCGACAGTGCTAAGCATGTTGCTGATAAGAACAAATGATGTTTTAGAGTCATGAAATTTTCGATGATCCACAGGTCGAAATTTGAGGTTTACCGAAAAATTCGACTTTCTAAAAACTCATTTGTTCTTATCAGCAACATGCTTAGCACTGTTGTGTTAGATGTTCAGTACAACTCTTGAAGGTTTTAACTTCGGAGAAAGGAAAATGACTTTGAAGAAAAGCGGCGGGGATCATCAGGGATCATACAAAAGCTGGAAAATGCGGTTCGTACAGCTTCTCGCTCCTGTTCAACATGTTCATAGTGAAGGGTAGTAGGAATACTTATGGATAGGTAAAAAGCGTGAAATCCAGGTATCTGGAGTTTCGAAATATAATGCTTTCTTTTAAGCTGCGATCCCCTCCCCAGCGGGGAGGTTAGTGCATGCGGCCCTAAGTGGCGTGATCAGCCTGAGTACTTTCTGACAAAGTGTTCTCTTACATTTTTGCTGCCCTATTTACCCTCGAAAAAAGAAAGGCCTTCGTTATCACGAAATCACAAGGAGTGTTGCACAGCATATTGGAAATGTACTTAGTCAAACTGATATATCTTTTGCAATTTATGCTAATCCCTTACTAATCTGGAAGATGATTTACAAATTTTTTGAGTAAAGTAGAGCAGAACACCGTTTTCTCTCCATCAGTGCAGATTGCTGGTCAAAACTGAGTATTCGTGACTGCAGTTGGGCTTGATGAGCTTTGAACGAGTACAGAATACATAAATTTGTTTGGTGCCAATACTTCCTCTTCAAATTTATAACATTTCTTAATAGAGCAAAAGCAGCGCACAACTGCGGAATGTATTCAGGGCAAGTTCTTCGAGCTCTTTGCAAAGAGCCGGAACTTGATTTGTATGTTCGCATCATTCTAACACATTAACGGTAGCTATATATCGTATTATAATAAGGTTTCTTAAGAGTAGTCGTATTCATCCATAGAACTCAGGGGTCAGGCTACCCAGCTGGTAGACTAAACCCATTAACTCAGTGGATACCTAGCGTAGGCCAATGGGTAGGTACCCCCCCCCCCCCCCAGAATGGGTCGAAATATTTGAAACTTGGTAGAGCGAATTACAAAGATATGCAAGTGATTGTTTATACTTGTGAAGAAATTTACAATAGGCTTGTAAAAACTTTTTCGAGCGTGACTGCCGCCTTTGGAGTTATGGTGCATAACAATTTCACAAAAAATTCTTTGGAGTGCGTGGCTAACGGCACCTTTATTCGAACGAATTTTTTTAATCTCAATTTTTTCAAACTGCGTGAATGCTAAATCTTTGTAATGCAGACCGTTAAACTTCTTCCAGCCACAAGATTTGCAATCCAAATGGGATTCAGCGAGGAAGACATTTCATCAAACGTTTCTCGAGCAATGATTTCGGAGTGGAGGACCAAGAACTGTCAGCCGAACTTCTGGCAGGTTACATTTTGTCGGCTTACTCGTATATTGTTCCTATGTGTTAGCGGCAGATGAAAACAAGAAGCACTTTTACGCAGACGGCTGTGCTGTCATTGAGCATCTAGTCCAGGTCCAGAGTGTGAATACGGTTGAGAACTCGCCTTTTAACAGAAAAATTTGGACTTACCTTGTTTACTTTGCTAGCTACATACTTCCAACCTTCGTCTCCCTAATGACTTCGCTAATACATCTTGGGATTGTACATTATCTCTGAATCAAGTTATCTGCTACACACTATTTATCAGGGTGATCGGTAAAAAATGGGACAGCTTGATTTTTATTAGGTTTTGAGATTTATGGTTTCGATCAACAACAAGCAGGTTGCAATGTAAAGGTCGCTTATATAAGCGACCTTTGCCTATTACTCTGGCAAGCCTCAACGCTCCTCTCCCACAACCCTACGCGTGGCACCCTGAAGAACTCGAACAGGGTTTTTTGAACATCGCTCATTCTTGCGCTGCCATACCGTGAAGTTACAGAGCAATTGATATAACTCGAAAAAATTCTTCATGCTCTTTCAAACAACATATCGAACATACAGGATTTCTTTCTATTTCTGGGTAAAAAAATCGAAATACCTAAAAATCGCGATTTTTTGGCGCAACAGAAACCAATAAATCAAGTTTCAATCTGTATTTTCCGAAGATAGATAAAATGTGAGATTAGCTGCATGTGGATGGATAGAGCGTAAAAAGCTCTTTTAGATGGTACCTATAAAACATGCGTTCACCTGCAAAGAGTTGAATAGCACGTATCTTTGTTCTCAAAACTGCTAATGGCCAGATCTCCTGAGTTTGAAAGTTGAGGCCAGCAATCCATAGTGGGTTGCAGCAGTAGTATTTTGGATGGTTTCGCATGTTTCACTCCGCAGATACTGCCAAGTTTATAATTTGTCAAAGTGACTAACTTTGCATTTTAGCCACTATAAAGATTATTAGGTATGTAAATGACCTTATATGGGTATTTTCTGAAAGGGAACAATTTATTCCAACATCCATCAAAATTGGGAAGTTTAATTACTATTCTTTTTTGAAGAATCTACATTTATTCTCTAGTTTTACCGATCACCCTAATAAAAGTAAATTATGGATCAATCGTGCTTTTACTATAAGTGTTGCTTCTTAGATACAAATCCTCTTCCTTGGAAACAAATAACGAACTCTGCAAACTATAATAGCTTACTTTTTGCGCAGCTTCTGCATAAATTTAGTCTGTAGAACTGTATAACTCACGACTATCTAGCAGCTTTGCGATCAGTATGAAGTGCTAGCAGTTTGGAATCCTTATTATGGATAATCGAACAATCATCATGTTAACGAAAATCCTGAAGACGCCATTTCAGAATGTTCTTCCCGATCCAAGTCAGTCCTGCGGTCCATATCGCCCATCACCAAATCGTTATCATGGCGGTCGTCAGTATAACAGGAGACGTGGGAGGGATATAGATAGGTAATTGTCGAGAGTAGGAATTTTATATTTTTTATACGCGTCCCACTTTGGGTCAATGAAAGATTCTTACCTAATATTAGATCGCTTCGATAGTTTGTTTTATTTGAACAAGCGCCGTCCGCTAAACAAAGATTAGTAAAAAAAATACTAGTTGCATTCAAGCAGTTTATTATGCTTTGAAATGATTACTTTATTGTTAACCAAGTCTTTGGAATGTCAACAAAAACTACGGCCCGTAGATTCTGCCATGGTTTATTTGTTATCCCTATAGAATGCAAACATTTTCCTCCTTCTCATAAATCGCCACATTTTTTCGAGAGAATTTCTAGAAATATAATAGATTTTCAGCTGGTCTATCTCAGAAACGCGTCAAACTCCAACAAGTTTCCGGAATTTAAAACTGCCAAAAGAAATTGTGATTTGATATTAATCGAAGTGCATGAATTCACGGATTAGAAATATCAAATTTAGCGGTATTCAGGTGACGTGATTTATGTCGATTATCCCCGAATACGCTAAGAATCAGAAACCAAAAAAGCTTTTAGACAGAAAAAAATGCTGCATCGTATGACACCAGACTTGCTCGCGAGATAATGTTTTATGAGGTTTGAATTGACCAAATATAGATTGATAGCATCAAGGGAGTTGTTTCAAAAATCTTGTAGGGCAAGCTGATAGGGCTTGCTCTACACACTAAACCTGGACTCCTTTGAGAAATCAGAATAAAAATTCAGATGAATAGCGAAACTTGATGGCAAATCCGTGGCCCCTAGATTTAATAAGTAAGCGCTCATCATTGCAATGCAAAAAGGATATAACCACCGATGCTATCAATATATTAGGTAGTTTCAAAAGTAATTTCGCTTTTTTCAAACGGGCGTCACATCTGATGGAACAAAGGTTTCTAAGAGCTCTTGGAAGCTTTTGATGCACCATTTTATTCTCTTTCTAATGGTTATGAAATTGTTGCAAAACAGTCAATGAGCTTTCAGAAAATAACCAAAATTTGTGACCTATGCTTTGTGATGGTCAACTTTCGCAATTTTTCTAAACTTTTATATCAATCCTCCGAAGAAGCGAAAAGAACGTATCTATAAAACAAACCTTACAGAATGCAAAACATTTTTTTCTCCTTTCCACAGCTTGTCATTTATTTTTAATAGAATTTTAACTGATGTTACCGATTTCCATACTTGGACAGTTAAATCTTCATCGAACATCAAACGGTGAGCAGCTTGGGTGTCATTCGATGCAGCTTGTTCTCCTCTTTCTAATGGGTGCTTTTTGTTTCCGATTCGTTCAGTTTTCTGAACTAAAATCCTCATAACTCAATTTTTAGCGAGCCCCAGGCTGTAACCGAAAAACTCGAAATTTGATATTTCGAATTCTTAAACTTTCACTTGCTTTGTAAAATTAGTGCTGGCTCATATTACCATCTTGGTAGTCTCAAAATCCGAATAATTATGATGTTTAATGCGATTGCGGCTAATGTAGGCCAAATTCGATGGCTTTGTTAAAAAATCTTTTAAAAAATTACGGCGAGCTAGGAGAAAGAGAAAAAAGTAGTACTGTATTCTATAAGGTTTACTCTATCGAATCGTTACTTTAACTCCTTCCGAGGGTTGATATGAAAGTTTTGAAAAATTGTGAAACTTGATTATCTCAAAAAGCATAGGTCGCAAATTTTGGTTGTTTTCTGAAAGCTTATTGACTGTTTTGCTAATTTCATAACCATTAGAAAGAGGATGAAATGCATCGAATGCTACTAAGATCTCTTAGAAATCTTTGTTCCATCAAATGTGGCGCTCGTTTGAAAAAGCGAAATTACTTTTGAAACGACTTAATATATTTCATGAAATTTGTTTCGCGGAATGTGACGGTCGTTCGAAAAAAAAGCGAAATTACTTTCGGGAAATTCTAATAGGTGCTTCGAAATTCTTGAAAAATAATTGTCTGGTAGCCTGATTTGAACAAATATTTCTATCAGTTCCCAGGCAAGCCTCTGTGTTGTGTTGTGGCGATCTTCGTATCCTCTTAGGATTGGGTGTATTATTTCACTGGAAAAACTGCATAATTTTAAAATGAGTTTGTATGCTCACACTGATGAGTTTCCTGAGCGAAACAGTTTCCATAGTGTCTCTAACTACCGTGTCAATGTCACTAAACTATCCCTGCTTGGAGGCAACGTCCACGCAGATTGGAGACATGGGCATTGCATGTGAAAATGATTTTGGATGCTAGTTCAGACATTGTCCTAAAGGCAGATATGGTTCTTCCGGCTGAGGTGTACACCTGCAATCCAAATACCACTCCTTTATTTGGCAATATGCATGCTTGCATGCGCCTGGGGACCCAGAGACCTCTTGATAACCTCGCGCACGACCCGCAAGCCGGTGCAACTCGTCCACCGGATACGGAAGTGGGGAAGTTGCCTGTACACTGGTTTTAAATAATATGAGGGATTTCTGCACTTGCAAAACTTCGGTCTATTATACAAAAACAAGGTGGTTATTTTCCAACACTGCAGAACGCAAACGTGGCTGCTTTTTTCGGACTCATTATAGCTTTGAGCTTTCTCTTAATTGATGCTCCGTCGGATTACGGAATTGTTATTGTGAAGATTTGAAAATTTCCACTGAGCTGGAACTCGAACAAATTTGATGATGAAGCTTTAGATTCAACCATGATACGCTTGGTATGGTTGTATTAGACTCTGCTGGAAACGTAGCGGCAGGAACTTCTACAAATGGAGCAAAATTCAAGGTAAGAACTGAGCCGCTTTCTCACGTCAGTCTTTGATTCACACTTCGATTAAGATTCCCGGAAGGGTGGGAGATTCACCCATTCCTGGTTCTGGCGCTTACGCCGCTGAAGGTGTCGGTGGTGCTTCCGCAACAGGCGACGGTGACGTTATGATGAGATTTCTTCCTAGGTGACTAATTCTGACAATTGTATGAAAAGCAGAACCAATATTGGTTCTTCAGTTTCTATGCTGTTGAGCAGATGCGACTAGGTACAAAGCCATTTCGAGCAGCACACAAAGCGATGAAGAACATCCTCCAATACTACCCCAATTTCCAAGGTGAATAAAATATATCTACACTTTCATATTCGTGATCGAACACACCGACAGGTGCCATTGTTGCTGTCAACGTCCGCGGACTCCACGGAGCTGCATGTGCAAATCTGCACAAATTTCAGTATTCGCTCGGAGTAGGAAGCAGCACTCGAGTCGAAACCGTTGCCTGTGTCAAGCTTCCTACGAAGCCGAGAAAGAATTTACGGCCATAGCAGTTTCAGTGGAAAAAATAAAGCATTTGGAATCAAGGTGTAGAAATAATTTGGTGATCTGTGGCAATAAGTGCGCTCAGTTTCTGTCTTCCTTGGAAATGGTTGCACAGGTTTGGATGGGGCGTCAAGAAAAAAAGTTACTAGGTGACCTAATCCGATTCTGCAAATTGAGGGTCCACAAATTCAACTTTTATACATACTAGCTGGCTTACCCGGCTCCGCCGTATCCGGACCAAACTTGGCACACATACACTTCGGGCCCTGGCGGGTGTCACAGTCCACTTTTCGTTATCGATCGATGTCGATTTTACCGATTTTTATCGATTTTTTTTTTGCAGAGTTCACCTACAGGGCTAGGAGTTGGCACAGGGGGGAAGTGAGCATGGGGATTCCGAATACAATATTAGTTTTCAGAATTATCGATTACTTTTATTGATTTTATCGATTTTTTGTAAATTTTGACATGCGAGGCTGGGATTTTGCACAGGGGGGTAATCGAGCATGCTGATTACGAACACAATATTAGTTTTCAGGATCGTCCATTACTTTTATCGATTTTATCGATTTTTTTGTAAAGTTTGACCTGTGGGGCTGGGATTTTGCACAGGGGGGTAATCGAGCATGCTGATTACGAACACAATATTAGTTTTCAGGATCGTCCATTACTTTTATCGATTTTATCGATTTTTTGTAAAGTTTGACCTGTGGGGCTGGGAGTTTGCACAGGGGGTAATCGAGCATGCAGATTACGAATACAATATTAGTTTTCAAGATCGTCCATTACTTTTAGCGATTTTATCGATTTTTTAAAAATTTGAGCTAGGGGGCTGGAATTTGGCACAGGGGTGTAATCGAGCATGCTGATCACCCCCCTTGGGGATGATCAGCATGCTCGATTACCCCCCTGTGCGAACTCCCAGCCCCGTAGCTCAAACTTTGCAAAAAATCGATAAAATCGATAAAAGTAATCGATAATCCTGAAAACCAATATTGTATTCGGAATCCCCATGCTCGATTACCCCCCTGTGCCAACTCCCAGCCCCGTAGCTCAAACTTTGCAAAAAAATCGATAAAATCGATAAAAATAATCGATAATCCTGAAAACCAATATTGTATTCGGAATCCCCATGCTCGATTACCCTCCTGTGCCAACTCCCAGCCCCGTAGCTCAAACTTTGCAAAAAAATCGATAAAATCGATAAAAGTAATCGATAATCCTGAAAACCAATATTGTATTCGGAATCCCCATGCTCGATTACCCCTCTGTGCAAACTCCCAGCCCCGTAGGTGAACTCAGCAAAAAAATCGATAAAAATCGATAAAATCGATATGGATCGATGACGAAAAGTAGCCTATGACACCCGCCGGGGCCCGAAGTGTATGTGTGCCAAGTTTGGTCCGGATCGGTTCAGAAATGGAATTTTCTATTCGGAACATACGTACATACATACAGACAGACAGACAAACAGACATTCAGCTTTATATATAAGATTAGCTACTAGCTGGCTTACTCGGCTCCGCCGTATGTTCCGCCCTGTGCCAACTCCCAGCCCCGTAGCTCAAATTTTGCAAAAAATCGATAAAATCGATATCGATCGATGACGAAAAGTAGCCTATGACACCCGCCGGGGCCCGAAGTGTATGTGTGCCAAGTTTGGTCCGGATCGGTTGAGAAATGGAATTTTCTATTCGGAACATACGTACAGACAGACAGACAGACAGACATACATACAGACAAACAGACATTCAGCTTTATATATAAGATTAGGTTGTCTCATAAGTTTTTTTTTTTAATTTTGACTTTTTTTCCGCAATAATTTGCACAGTTCTTTACTGTGATCAGAATGCAGGGTACCGTTCGATAGAGCAAAGCAAGCTCTACAAGATGGCATGCGAGTGTTCGCACCAGCTTCGGCACATCATGAGTTAGAAGCCGAAATCTGAGAACTTTTGGATGCAAAAAAATTGGAAAATCTTCTATAACTTTGTCCAAAGAAAACTTACCAGATTTTAAACTCGCTCACGCATATACACTCCACATAAGACATTCATATGTGCCGTCGCTGTGTTTGTTTCTGTGCTAGAAACCGAGAGAACTAAGACTTCCAAGCTTCAAAAAAAAAAAGCGATGCTGCGCTGTTTTCACAGAGGGAGATGTATACTACGGCCCTTTGAAAGTATAACCACAAATTTTCAGCTTTCTATAAGCTCTACTTCCCAAGAAACAGGGCTCGGCACGAGCTGGCGCCAGGGAATTTTCAAAACGAAGTCCCCTTTGAAATTTGCTAATTTTTACGAAGTCCCCCTTGACTTTTGGGAATTTTTACGAAGTCCCCTTTGATCCTCAACGATATCCCCTCTAAAATGCTGAAAATCCCCCCAAAAACGAAACGTCGACTAAAAAAAAGGTCGCCGTCGCCAATTTTGCGTATATCGCCAACAAAAACGAAACCCCCTTTGCTTTTTGCCCCAAAAACGCCAGCTTGCCCCGTGCCAGCTGGTGCCAGGCCCTGCCAAAAAATATTAGTTTCAACATAAATTACCCTAGCAAAAAAGCTAAATTCGGTATTTTTCAAGAACTAGTGCTTCCAGCTGAAAATTTACCGATGTATTACTGAAGGCCTGTAGTATACATCTGCCCCTGTGAAAACAGTTCAGCATCGCTTTTTTTGAAGCTTAGAAGTCTTGGTTCTCTCGGTTTCTAGCACAGAAACAAACATGGCGACGGCGCATATGAATGTCTTATGTGGAGTGTATATGCGTGAGCGACTTTGGGATCCGGTAAGTTTTCTTTGGACAAAGTTATAGAAGTTTCAATTTTTTGGGCATCCAAAAGTTCTCAGATTTCGGCTTCTAACTCACGATGTGCTGAAGCTGGTGCGAAAACTCGCATGCCATCTGGTAGAGCTTGATTTGCTCTATCGAATGGTATCCTGTGTTTTAACACATTGACGACAGGGCCGATTTTTCAATTACTGCCGTTTCGGACCAGAGCCTTTTTCGCTTTGTCAAACTTACGACCCACCCGTGGGTCGTATTGTCCGAAATGGTAGTCTTTTTGGAAAAAGTTCAAAACATGTTCCCGAGAATTTCTGTAGAGGGGTAATCGAAGACGATGATTATATTGGTGGTTCGTAGGCTTTATAGTAGCCTAAGGCGAATAGCGCCTTCTGTAGTGTGTTATACAGAACACATCCTTCTATATATAAAACCGAATGGGATTTTGTCTGTACACTGGTGGCTTGTCTGTACGCTGGTGGATAAGCATGCTTGTTGATGCTGTCTGTAGGTCCTCGATGGTGTTTTCGTGTTTGTCATTTTCCAGCATGGAAGCTTGTTATTACTTCTACCAAATTTATCGATTATTTGTAAATTTTGAACTACGGGGCTGGGAGTTGGCACAAGGGGGTAATCGAACATGCTGATTACGAATATGATAACCATTTTCAAAAATGCCCATTACTTTTATCATTTTATCGATTTTCTGGCAAAGTTCAAGCTACGGGGCTGGGACTTGGCACGGGAGGATAAGCGAACATGCTGGTTACGAATACAATACTGGTTTTTAGAATTATCAGTTATGTTTATCAATTTATCGATTTTTTTGCAAAGTTCAAGCTACGGAACTAGGAGTTGGCACACGGGGGTAATCGAGCATGCTGATTACGAATACAATACTGGTTTTCAGAATTATCATTTATTTTTATCATTTTATCGATTTTTTGGCAAAGTTCAAGCTACGGGCTGGGAGTTGGCACACGGGGGTAACCGAGCATGCTGATTACGAATATGATAACCATTTTCGATAAAGCCCATTACTTTTATCATTTTATCGATTTTTTGGCAAAGTTCAAGCTACGGGCTGGGAGTTGGCACTCGGGGGTAGTCGAGCATGCTGATTACGAATATGATAACTATTTTCAAAAATGCCCATTACTTTTATCATTTTATCGATTTTCTGGCAAAGTTCAAGCTACGGGGTTGGGAGTTTGCACGGGAGGATAAGCGAACATGCTGATTACGAATACAATACTGGTTTTTAGAATTATCATTTATTTTTATCATTTTATCGATTTGTTTGCAAATTTTGGACTACGGGGTTGGGAGTTTGCACGGGAGGATGAGCGGACATGCTGATTACGAATACAATACTGGTTTTTAGAATTATCATTTATTTTTATCATTTTATCGATTTATTTGCAAAGTTCAAGCTACGGAACTAGGAGTTGGCACACGGGGGTAATCGAGCATGCTGATTACGAATATGATAACCATTTTCAAAAATGTCCATTACTTTTATCATTTTATCAATTTTTTGGCAAAGTTCAAGCTACGGGGCTGGAAGTTGGCAAGGGAGGGTAAGCGAACATGCTGATTACGAATGCAGTGTTAGTTTTTGGAATTATCAGTTATTTTTATCATTTTATCGATTTGTTTGCAAATTTTGGACTACGGGGTTGGGAGTTTGCACGGGAGGATGAGCGGACATGCTGATTACGAATACAATACTGGTTTTTAGAATTATCATTTATTTTTATCATTTTATCGATTTATTTGCAAAGTTCAAGCTACGGAACTAGGAGTTGGCACACGGGGGTAATCGAGCATGCTGATTACGAATATGATAACCATTTTCAAAAATGTCCATTACTTTTATCATTTTATCAATTTTTTGGCAAAGTTCAAGCTACGGGGCTGGGAGTTGGCACAGGAGCACAAGCGAACATGCTGATTACGAATACAATATAGCTTTTAGAATTATCAGTTATTTTTATCATTTTATCGATTTTTTTGCATGGTTCAAGCTACGGGGCTGGGGTTTGGCACACGGGGGTAATCGAGCATGCTGGTTACGAAATCATAACCGTTTTCATAAATACCCATTACTTTTATCATTCTATCGATTTTTCTGCAGATTTTGAACTACGTGACTGGGAGTTGGCACACGGGGGTAAGGGAACATGCTGATTACGAATATCATAACATTTCAGAAAATACCCCTTACTGCTATTGGTTTAATTGATTTTTTGCAAT